CTGCTGAACACTTGCATCTAGCGGCAACCATATTAGACATTGTGGGTGTGGACCACCATTTCTGTCTTCTCAGAGTTCTGTTGACAGAGCTTGAGAGCAAGCTGTGTTCCCTTCTTGCTCCCCTACCTTCTGCCAAATGTTGATCACACTGTGTCTGTCCATCTTAGGGGTACAGATGTCACAAAGCCAGATTGGACATTGCTGGATAGTTTTGCCTCTGTGCTTGGAGATCTAAAGAGACCAAAACCGTGTCAGAAAGACATATTGAGAAGGGCTGGACCATCCTATTAAGCTGCCACTTAGGTTTCTTGGGTGAACTCTTCTGGTTTTCTCTCACCCTTTGGGGGACGAGGTTCATCGGTTCCCCTTTTCTGTCTTTTCTAGCAACGCACATAGTCTTCATTTCAATGAGCTGATGATCAGTTTCTGTGGCCCTACAAAGAAGAGAAGGCTTGAAAGGAGGAATCATGGAGCCAGACAGTGCCACAGCTGTAAAACGCAATGTTCTGTGAGGAAATCCCACATGGAAGGTTCCTAGTTCAAGTCCAGAGACCTCCCTGAGTACACTGGGCAGATTTGTGCCCATTATCATGCATCAAGCTCCTACTGGGGGGTACTCTCTCTCTCTTTCTCTCATTCATGAAATAAATAGGAAAATAAAGTGGGAGTCATTCCAGGATTCAAATGCCATTAAAGTTTGGGGGAAAAAAATGAAAGACTGGAGCTTAAAAATAAACCAACCCTGGGCTGGCAGGTGGTGTGGTGGTTAATGGCACTGGATTTCCACATGGTGGACTGAAGTTAGAGTCCCGGTCCTGGCGGTTTGTGCTCTCTCTCTCTCTCCCACACACTCTCTCACTCTGTCTCTCTCTGGTCAAATTAAAAAGTAAATTAAAAAAAAGAAAATTAAATAATTCTTTAAGATAAATAAATAAATAAACCACCTCCTCCAGGTAGTAGGATGGCTTCCCTGGCAGATTTCCTGGGGGATCACATTGACTCTTATTAAGAGTGGCCATGTCCATCAGCAAAAGCCTCAGAGAAAAAAAAAGGGTTTCGAAAGAGCAAGCCCTGAACCCCAAATCCACCATTGGCAAGATTACAGGGACATGCCAGGAGGTGCCAGCTGCACCTTTTGTTATTCTCGTTCAACTCTGGAGGCCCAGCCACAGTTTGCTGCGGAGGGAAATTGGCATCAGTCTGGCAGCTACTGCAGGCCCCTCCGGCTTAACATCTGCAAAAAGAACTGCTTCTCTCGGCTTTCCCAGCCTGCTAAACCAACTTAAACCTCAGGGTGTGCTGAGCAGAGGCCGGCTGCGCTGTCTGGAGCAATCTGGTCAGTCCCTTGCAAAACTCCCTGATGATATCGACCCAGGTTTCCCATCTGAAAGGTTTGACTTTTTTCCAAGAGGAGCTTTAATAGATTAATTAGATCTTTGCCCCTCCGGGATTTGTCAAATAAACAATGTTGCATTTATACCAACCTGAGGTATAAAGGACTAGTGTTTCATCACTAAAATTAGCCAAGTGGCGTTTAACAGGAGGCGCAAGAGGGAGGTAAAGTATGCATTTTGAGGGGAGAAGATGGCTAGTGAGGGTGAATTTACTGAATCCCTAACCCCTAGGCCCTTCGGAGAAGAAATCGAAACGTGTTTCTACATTGCCTCAGTGTGGATCCATGTTTTTCTTTCTTCCTTGTATCAGGTCAGCAAAGTCGGGACATACGGACTTTCCCAATGGCCCATTAATTGCCAGAGGGTACATGAGTTCTTCAGAGAGAGGGAGAGAGAGAGAGAGAGGGAGAGAGAGAGAGAGAGGGCCAGAAAGAAAGCACCCCTCAGTTGGGCAGGGCCACACCGCCACAATTCTTTCCCCTCCATTTCTCCATCCCGTTGCTATTTGGGGCGCACACACCTGATGTGTTTTTCAAGCTGCCAGGGCCAGGATTTGAGCTATCGTCAGCCACGTGGGATCTGGTCTCCAATGAACAGGCTTAATCTGCTATGCTACGTTTTTAGATTTTTAGGGAGAATACTACCCTAGATGACTAGGTATAGAACTAAATAGATTTTATCTCTGAGAACTATGGTCATCTTTAGTGTTAGAATAAGTTGAAAATATTTATAATATTTGTTTTTAAGATCTTGAAGACTTAAGCACTTTTATTTTTGCTATAGGGAACGTGTGCCAGAGAGACAAATAGACAGAGAGACAGAAAGTGAGAAATCACCCCTCAGAGAGATGGCACACTGCAATCCCTTCTCTTCCGTTCTCCTCATGGGATTTTGGGCACACATGCACACGCACCCACGTGAGTTTCAAGCCATCAGGTCTGGCACTTGAACTGCAGTAGGCCATGTGGGAGTCCAGATACATAACCATTATGCCATCTGCTGGTCCCAGAAGAACTTTTTAAAATTTTACTTTATTTTTTATTTTATTTTTTTTAGAGGTTTTTGCTATAGGGCACGTGCGCTTGCCAGACAAACAGAGAGAGACAGAGACAGAAAGCGAGAAATCACCCCCCTAGGGGGAATGGCCACGCCGCAATCCCTTCTCCTCCATTCTCCTCTTGGGATCTTGGGCATGCATGTACACGCGCCCGGCGTGAGTTTTAAGCCACCAGGTCTGGGATGTGAACCGCGGTTGACTATGTGGGAGTCCAGCGACATAGCCATTACACTAACTGCTGGTCCAGAACTTTTATTTTTGATAGTAATCTTTGTCAGGTATCTGTTTCTTAAGACTAAGTATGACACTACATTTATCAAATGAAATTTTTGTGGTTTTACAATATTTTGTCTTTGTTTTAAAATAATTTCTATTTCTGGTGATTTAAAAAATATAAATAGATAAATAGGTTTAAAATTCAACTAGCAAGATGTCCAGCATATATATGGGTTCAACATTTTTTTGCCATTTAGGAACTAAAATTTTAAAATTTCCCAAATTTGGGACCAGCAGATGGCAGAGTCGTTATATCACTGGACCCCCACATAGTCGACTGCAATTCAAGTCCCAGACCCCATGACTTCAAACTCAAACTGGGCGTGCGTGCCCAAGATCCCGAGAGGAGACTGGAGGAGAAAGGATTGCGGGATTGCGGTGTGGCCATCCCCCCCTGGGGGGCATGATTTCTTGCTTCCTGTCTGTCTCTCTGGCGATCACAGGAAAAATCTCTGAAAAAAAAAACTTTTTTCCCCAAAGTTTATAGAAAAGCTTTTTTTTTTTTTTTTTTTTTAAAATTTTTGAGAGGTTTTTGCTATAGGGCGCATGCGCTCACCAGACAGACAGAGAGACAGAGAGATGGAAAGCAGGAAATCACCCCCCCCCCAGGGGGGATGGCCACACCACAATCCCTTCTCCTCCATTCTCCTCCTGGGATCTTGGTCACACATGCACACGCGCCCGGCGTGAGTTTAAGCCACTGGGTCCGGGACTCGAACCGCAGTCGACTACGTGGGAGTCCAGCGACATAGCCATTACGCTAACTGCTGGTCCCTAGAAAAGCTTTTCTAACGAGGAGAAGACAATACTATGGAGTCTGAAGAGCAGTTTTCTCTGTGAGGCATGAAGCAACGTCAGCATGCTTCACGGCCATTTCGTGTGGTCTGATTCCCTTTCCAGCCCTCTCCACACACCTGGAGTTTCCCTGCCTCTTCCAGGCCTGCAGCCCTTTGCATATGCTGTTCCCTCTGCCCGCTGTTTCCCCCAGCCAGCCCCATTTTCTACCTGCTTAGCATACTCCTACTCACTGTTTAAAATGCAGAAACTAAAAGGGTACTTGGTAGATACCAAGCAGCAAATTTGAGATAACTTAGCAGAGTGAACCAGTTCTGCTGGTTCCAACTTATCAGAGAAGTCTGGCTTCCCTGAGTCCTAAACTACTGAGTTCCCCCACCCCCACCCCCTCCAGCCCCAAATCCCCTGCCTGGGCCCTTGAGAGAGACTGCCAGTTCTCCAGGTACAATCCGGCAGATACTTCTCCCAGTCCCCAGAGTAGCTACTGTGCTCTCTGCTTCTCACACCCAGGAACTTTTCTTTGTAGGTCTGTCTTGCTAGAAAGCCTGGCTTCCTGAGGCCCCACCCACCCTCATGCTGTCTCATCACAGAGAGACTTCACAAAAGGCCAGGCCTGCCTGATTGGCATAAGACTTAGATTTTTTTCTGCTATAGTTAACTAAGGGATCTGAGCTTGATGTTCAGACTTGAACCAGCCTCTCAGTGGGTCTGAGGACATGTTTAGCCAGCTCTGGTGAGCCACCATAGCATCCTGTGGTGGAAGGAGGAAGGTGCTGGGCCTACCCAGAGGAAGATTCTCTTCTGCAACTGTGTTTCTTTTTATAGGGAGCATGTGCTTGCCAGAAAAACAGAGAGAGACAGACAGACAGCGAGAAATCACCCCAAGGGGGTTGGCCATGCCACAATCCCTTTTCCTCCATTCTCCTCTCAGGATCTTGGGCACACATACACATGTGCCCATGGTTAGTTTAAGCCACCGGGTCTGGGACTCAAACCGTGGTTGACTGCATGGGAGTCCAGCGACATAGCCACTATGCCAACTGCTGGCCCTGTTATTTTGCTTTTTAAGTTTTGACCATAGGGCACGTGAACTCACTGGAGAGAGACAGAGGGAAAATGAGAAATCACCTGTCCCCTCCTGCAGGGGGGATGGCCATGCTGCAAAACCTTCTCCTCCATTCTTCTCTCCGAATTTGAGGCACACATGCATGTGTTCCTGGCATGATTTTCAAGCTGCTAGGTCCAGGACAAGAACCGTGGTCAGTCATGTGGGAATCCAGCACCTTAACCACCATACTACCTGCTGGCTCCTGCCATTGCATTTTCGAAGAGAGACATTGAGGAGCTGGAAGGAAAGACCGCTGAGCACCTACAGATACTCATAGCTTTCTTGCATTTTATCCTCACGACAGCCTAAGTGATCACACTAGTTTCCCCAGGCCTGCCTGTGACATCTGCAGGCTGGGGTGGGGTCCACATACCAGATGTCTCGATTTGTTAAAGTTGAAAACCAAGGTAACACGTTGACCGAAGGACGTGCTAACCTTCTAACTTAGCAGATACCTTCAAAAAGATCTGGTAGGCCAAGTTCAGATTCAGAATTCTTAGGTCTGTCCGTGTTCTGTGCCGAACTGTGGCAAGGCATGGAGAGCTGCCCCGTTCTCTTTCCAACACTGACTCTGTTTTTGTTTGTTTGTTTGTTTGTTTTAAAAGTTTGTTTCTTTTATGAAAGAGATCTTACGCCATGATCCCACCCAGTCTCCCAGCCAGATAGGATCACAGGCACACCTTGTATGTTCAAATGGACCCAGGATCTGAATCTGGGCCGCCCATGTGGCTCCAGCATCGTGTAGCTGTACCCTAAGGTCTGTATCGCTATGGCTGGGCCTGGACTGTCTT